CAGATGAGCACCACACCCCAGAGTCAGACATGACTGGACTTCATGTCAGAGGAAAACCTTTAATTAGGAAAACTGTGGAAGATCCAGGGTGGGGGAAAGAAAGGTATGAATGTTTCAATTGGCCACCTTGATTACCATTTCATAGCCTGACAGTTTTTAGGGAGAATCCTTTGTTGAGAGGTGATTAGCTGGTCCTGATTGTTTCTTGTCTGGAGTTCCCCTATGTTTGAGTTTTGTTCTTTATTTACAGTTATAATTTTAGAGTTGTTTTAATACTAGTAGCCAAATTTTGTTCAGACTAGAAATAGGAAGATTTCCCATTCTCTGCTCCTGGAATTACTGCCTGAAGAGGGCTAGAAAGAACCCCCTCCCTCTAAGGGCCCTTCCACACAGCAAAATAAGATATGTGCAATGTGCATAGGAATTTTTTAATTGATTTTTTTTAAAGAAAACTATAGTCCGGCCCTCCAACGGTCTGAGGGACAGTGAACTGGCCCCCGGTTTAAAAAGTTTGAGGACCCCTGTTCTAACATATGGGAGATCCATATGCACTATGTACACCAAGGAAGGGCAAAGTGCACCTCTCTCCAGGTGTTAAGAGTGTAGCTCCCTTTAGCCAACATAGCCAATGCTGGAATATTTTTTTCTTGTGTCAGGAGCAACTTGAGATACTGCAAGTTGCTTCTGGTGTGAGAGAAATTACAAATTTAAGGATGGAATTAGATTGGGTCTTATAAGGTGTATTTCTCTGTATGTGGCCGCATGTGTCTGCGTGTCATCAAAAATAGCCATGTGTGTCAGTGCTGACACGCGTGTCATAGGTTCACCGTCACGGTGTTAGAGTGTAGCTCCCTTTGGCCAACATAGCTAATGCTGGAAGATTTTTTCCTTATGTCAGGAGCAACTTGAGAAACTGCAAGTTGCATCTGTTGTGAGAGAATTGACCATCTGCAAGGACATTGCCCAGGAGATGCCCTGATGTTTGATGTTTTACCATCCTTGTGGGAGGCTTCTCTCATGTCCCTGCATGGGCAGCTAGAGCTAACAGAGGGAGCTCAACCCACTCTCCCTAGATTTGAACCGCCAACACAAAGGTTAAACCATTGCATCTGTAGGGGCTCCTATGCTGGAAGATGCTTGGAGGCTACGCTTCCCCTGCCCTCTATTCTGGCTGCATAATCATTCGAACATGCATTGTTCTGTAGCAAATGACTTGATGTTCCCCACTCTGTATTTTGGTTGCATTCGTGATTTTTCCCCCCTCTCTCTCTCTGCTAGCATTTTTAATCCAGCCCCGGCTTTAATCTTTCCCCTATTGACTGGGAGCCTAAATAGTGTGATTAATTTTCCGAAATAACAGCCGAGAAAGAATTGATAATCTGTCTGCAAATGAATATAAAATCATTCTAAAGGTACATTTGAAAAAGATTAAAAAGGCTTGTTGCTGTGCAGGTTATTTAATGTTTATTTTATATTTCTGGAGGGCTGCAAAGGGGTCCAATCAGGTCTTGAGCTCCAACTAATTCCTGCTGATTCAAACCAAGGCGGGGAGCAATCACCAGTATTGTTGGAGCTGCTCTCTCTCTTTTTTCCATTGAGGGCTAGAGAGAAACTGCCTCTGACGGCCTGCCTTGCAGCTCCATGGCCCCCAAAGGAAAGCAGCACTCAAAGCCCTTTGCCATTTAGCATGGGCAAGAGGCTCAGCGTGAAGAGTTGGGGCAGAAAAGGTATATAATTTTAATCAGGAAACGTGCTCCGTGGTGAGATATTTTGGGAGACCTCCACTGTGTGCCCTCTCCTATCGTTCCTTTTACAAGGGAATTATACAGGGGGGGGGGGGGGTCAAGTGTTATCAACCAGGACTGGAATGAACTCATCCTTTGAAGAGTGTGGGTTTTATTTAAGGTGCCTGGATCCAATCTCATGCTTCAGGATACGTATTTAATCATTTATGGGGTGCCAGAGGGGATTCTGCCTCCATCCGAAGACCTGGCGGTTTAGTGCAATTGACTTGTCTGCATGACACGTAACGGGAAGCCTCTTGCCTGGAGGCACCAGGCTGAGGTCATTGCTGGAAAGGAAGAGCAGCGCTTTGGATTTGAACAGCTCCACGCCTGAAAGAAAGGGCAGCAAGACCAGGGGGGATTTGCGGCACTTGGGGCATCCCTGGAGACCTTGGACCTCCCCACCCAGGAACGATCATGTGCTTTACAGTTGGGGATTATATTCCATGTTTGTGGGACTGTGTCGTTCCCAATTTAATCATGAGAGGGTATTAGGGTTTTTGGGAATGCACTGCCCAAGCAAGAGGCTGCAGAGTTAAGGCTTGCTGAGAGATTAGCGGAGCTTTTTCATTTTCATCTTTATTTTTATTTATCGTGTCAGGAGCAAACCAAAACAGTTGTATTGCATTTTATTTACCGCGTCACCAGCAACCAGATATATGTATTACATTTTTAACAAAAACAAACAAACAAACAGACAAAACACAAAGTTTGCAAGCTTGGTAGTTGATCAAATGTCCTTTGACCAGTATCTGGCCCCTTGGAGTGCCTCTGGTGTTGTTGCAAGAAGGTCCTCCATGGTGGCAGGGCTCAGGGTGCATTGCAGCA